TCCTAGTTTATAAAGTGGACCTTGGCCATCATCCTGCGGCACATTACACAGACATTCTCCTTCAGCTACTAGGGGATTCTTTAGAGGATATGCATTGTTGCTTGTGCACAGAGAATAAATTTTCTCTTCCTAAAGGCGTTCCCAGGGCCTTTCCAGGAACCTCCCTTCCCCTGTTGCACTGAACAGGGAGGGAATAAACAAAGGTGCTTCCCCCAGCACCACAGAGGTTAGAGAGTCCCAGAGGCTCCTGGCCAGCACAGTCCTCTCACTTCTGGGATAACAATGCGACCACGCTTTGCCGGTGCCTCTCCCTCCCTTTCTCCTGTAACTCTAAATCTCACGCAGAGTGGTACAAGGGGGACCATGGAGTTCATGTGTGAGGCCCTGTGAGGCTGCCTGAATCCTGCCTCCTGAGTCTTGAGATCCTCCAAGCTCTTCAGACTCCTGGTCAGTGCCTTGCCCAAGCCTCTTTCCCAACAAAGTGTGTCCAAATCAGAGCTCCTCACTGAGACAGAAACCCACTCTGTCCCTCAGTATTTCAGCTCCATATGTCACTTAGGGACACCAATACGAATGGAGTGCTGTAGGGTTTTACAACAGAAATCTAAAGTGATTTCACCAACAATCATGATTAGCGTACTTTGCAAAGATCCAGCATAAGCAGATTTATCCAACGCTTAAGGACCCAGAGCTTTCTGCCAGTGTCTCTGCACACGGAGGATGTGATGAAACTATTGTCTATAATGAGGCGTGGAGGTGAGGAAGAGGATGCTCTTCTCCTTCTGGGAGCTCCTTAGGCTAATTTCTTCACTCAAAACCTCAGTTGCTTTCTCTTACAGGTGGCTAAGAACACCTGCCCAACTTTTCTTGCAATTTTTTCTTTTTTAAATTTTGAAATTAAAGGCAATAGTAATCCTTTGGGGGAATATACAAGGAACTATATATATGCACAATATTTTTGCTACCCTATTATTATTTTTTTAAAAAATAGAGAGAGAGAGAATTTTTTAACATTTATTTTTTAGTATTTGGTGGACACAACATCTTTGCTTGTATGTGGTGTGAGGATGGAACCAGGGCCGCACGAATGCCAGGCGAGTGTGCTACCGCTTGAGCCACATCCCCAGCCCTCCTATTATTATTTTAATTAATTATATTTATTGCATTCATAGTCTTAGAATCTTGGCTATCTTAATCTCTAAGTACTGTTTTTATTTGTTTGTTTTGTTTTGTTTTTGTTTTTTGTGTTTTTTTTTAGTCTCGGGGATGGAACCTGGGGTCACATGCAATGTAAACACATGCTCTACCACCGAGCTACACACCCAGGCCCCCAAACACTCTCTGAACTTATTTTAAGACTCAACTGTGAGTGAAAACTGAGAATATATATTAGGCAACTGAATAAGACATCAGATCAACCACACATTAATTTTATTATACAGTTACTAAGAAATTCCATGAATCCTCTCAGATTCTATACTTTGCTTTAATTCACAAAGTGCTTTAGGATGTGTATAAAGTCATATTTTTAAAGGCTCTGCACTGCCAGCTGTGAAGGCCATAAATAAGCCTTTTGCAAACAGGAGAGCTGCACAGCTCTAGGAGAAGCAGTTCTCCTCCTCATCCATCCTTTTTCTGCCTGATGTAGGTTGACAGATGATTTACAGGAAGTGACCCCACCTTATTTGCATCTGTATTGATGTGTTTGGTGAGCAAGAAAGGAAGTAACAGATTCGATTTTAATCAGGGAAAAAATGGACTGTACTTATTCTCTCAAGCAAGTACTTGAATTCATCAGATTTTAAAAACATATTCTCTTATATTCAAAATGTAAATGCTGTGGAGCCCACACCATAACAAGAACAGAATAGTTTCCCACTTGAACCTCCAGAACTTGCTGAGAGAACATAACCAGAGCTTTCTCTTCCATGACACGTATCAGAGCATTTCAAATTTATGTCTTTTGATTAAAATTTAAAAATTGGCAATAATTTTTAATTGTTTAATCAGGAATTGGAGGTAAACCATTAAATATTAAATCTCTACTTACGAAAGCAAATGCCTTATACTGCATATCCTAGAAAACAAAATCTGTATGTTGGATAGATAAAATAATAGCCAGAATGAATTTTTTAACTACTCACAATGTAGGTTATGACTCCAAATCATTTGCAAAATAAAAACAAAACTAATTTAATATGGTAAATGGGACTCAGTTTTAAATTACTACTAGGCAATCAATTTGTACGTTGTACTATAAAGACAATTCATTTTTAAAAGAATTAAGAACAGAAACTGAAAGTCACTTTTTCCCTTACGTTTTGTTATTTTATCTGTCTTCATTATATGTAAAATTTACTTGGTGAAAATCACTAGAAGGGGCTGGGGTTGTGGCTCAGGGGTAGAATGCTTACCTAGCATGTGCAAGGCCCTGGGTTCAATCCTCAGCATCACATAAAAATAAATAAATAAGGGTATTGTCTACAACTAAAAAAAAAATGTTAAAAAAAGAAAGAAAATCACTAGAAGAAGTCTTCTTATAAATTATAAGATTCTAGAGAAACACAAATATAGGAAAACACATATTGCTGTGGAATTATTTATTGCCTTGCTATTAGAATGCTTTCTTTTGCTAGCCTCAAGAGGAAACTAGTAACTTTAGCATGTGCTTCCCTTTAGAGGTGACATGTATTGTAAATTAGTTAATATAACCACACCAAGATTAGTCTTTGGTGCTGTTGTTTTATTCCTTCCCCCATCTCCCTGCCAACTCCATTTTTTAGAAAGAAGAACAGTCAAGGTTTAAGATCCATTGCTCCTGTAGGAAATAAAAAAAATAATATCCTAAGCCATCTCAAGGAATAAAAGACAGATTAACAAGAGAAGAAAAGATCACATTTATTTAACCAAAGTTCTATGTGACTCAGGAATAAGGACAAAAGATCTCAGAGATTTTTTTTAATATTTTTTTTTTAGTTGGACACTATTTATGTTTATGTGGTACTGAGAATTGAACTCAGGGCCTCACAGAGCTAGGAGAGCGCTCTACCGCTGAGCCACAACCCCAGCCCGAACCCAGAGATTTTTATTTTTATGATTAAGTTCCATGAAGACTGGACAGATGTGTAGAAATTTGATTGTCCAAAGTGAGTGTGCTCTAATTGTAATGAACTGGGGTGACTGGCAAGGCCTGCGTGCTCAGATTCTGGTTCTCTGTAAGGAAAATATATATTATATATTCTCAGTTTTCACTCCCAGTCGGAGCAGGACCCTATGTACCATGTGAAAGTCTCCAGGGCAGAAGGGAGGAGATCAGAAAGTGACCTCTGGGTTTTCTGGCTTGATATGGGGAGAGGCATTCAGTGTTTATAACCCACCATGGGGGGAAAGGGAGGAGGAAGATAGGGTGATGGGAGTTCAGAGAACCACCTCCATGGCAGGTGTGGTGGGGCCACAATGACATAGTAAAATCTGTAGTGAGTTTAATTCCTAGACTGTTAATTCAACTAGGAAAAGTTAGTTCCTTTTTATTCATATGTAGAAACCAAAGGTAAGACTAATGAACTTCTTGAATGGTTGGGCATCCACTCTGTGTAAAGGAAATGAAAGCAAAGAGGGAAAGCAGAAATTTAATTGATGCATTGAAAACCTTTAATTGAACGTTTTATCATTGCACATCTATTTCAGAAACTCTGCTAGGATGTGAATCTATTTTTAGATGAGGAAACTAAGGTTGAGACAAAATGGCAAACAGAATAGGAGACAAGCTCAGGACATCTTTAGTTCAAGCACTTTTGAAAAAGAAATGGCGCTGAGGCCGGGAAGGCTCCGGATACTGGGGTGGAATAATTTCAGAGCTCAGAATGTGAACCCCCCCTCCCCGCCCCCAATCTGGCCCCATGGCATGCTGAGCAACAAACCCTGAAGGAAACTGAGGAAACCTCAGAAGCAGGAAGGTCTCTCTTCCCCTGCCCTTTCCTCCCAACAGCCGACCACGGAAACTGGAACTGCCCTTACACCAACTTGCCCAAGGCAGGCTGTGCAACCTGTGGTCCTCTCTGACCTTCTCCCTCCCTTGGCCCTCAAGGCCCTCTACTGACGGAGGAGAGAAGGCCCCAGGGAGTGAAGGGAAGAGGCTGGGCAAAGGCCCTGGCACACCAACAGTTTGCTGCCATTCCACGATGCCTTCCGTCTGTGAAAACACTCAGCTACCCATTTCTTTGGTTCTTCATTTCCAAACCCTCTCATGACACATGATACTGACATTAAATCCATTCTGTTTTGTTAATTTGCTTTTGTTATAACCGTCTCCCCATGAACCTTGGGATAAAGAAGGAGAAGTTATCATTTTTCCCCCTCTAAAGATTACTCCAGGGCCACAGGTAGCATTCGTGGAATTTCAAGAGTTAATATATGCCAGACCAGTGATGATGTCAATATGGTACCAAATTAGTACTTAAAAGTCAAAGCATTTTCTTGTCAGATAATAGCAAGAATATGTACACATTTATTTTTAAAAACCTTCTGTCAAATTGCATTAAAAGCAGGTTGCAACATGATTGGCAGAGAAGATGGCTTCAGAATAGGTGACACAGTTGCATTCCTCCAACAAATTAAAGTGTGGGCGTAAAGAACACACTGTGTACTTAGATCTAGTTTATTAAAGGGACCCTAAAACTGAACAAAGAAAGAGCGAGGTGGGGGAGAGAGGAAAATGGATCCTCTGGGAATTCAGAGCCTAAAGTGATTAATTAGACCTTATTTTGTCTTGAACAGATTTACTAAGCATTTTTCAAATAGCCACATTGTTTGTAATTACAAAAATCACACCTCCATTGGCCGGCCTTAGTCACTTCATGCATGAACAGCAATCTGATTGAGCACTCTTGTTAGGGCTTCATTCTTCATTGTAATTAGCCATAATCAAGGCCTTCCTGGGCGCATGAGAATGTGCAGGACTATTGCAGCCTATTTGAATATGAATCTTCTCAGTAAGAAGCAAGAAAACAGGAGAAACAAAACAGCTTCTCTAGGGAATTTTGAAGGCATTGCTACTTCCATTCTGCCCCCCTTCGAAATGGTCCCTATCCAGGATCTGGACTCTATTTGCTAAAACAAGGGTGGCTTAATGGAGACAATGGCTTATTATTTCTTAAGTGACACAGGAGGGCCCAAGTATTACAGGCTTAGTTCTTTCAGTCTTTGCCAAGGACACAAGGAACAAAAGAACAAGCAATTGTGTGTGGAAAGGAGAACTGGGACAGGCCCACTTTGAGACCACTCAGGGTAAGATGGGGCTTTGCTCCTTGGCGCTGGGAGGCTTCTGCAGGCTTGCTTTCTTCTCTTTCCCTCCTCTTCCCCTGCAAATGACTCAGACATTACAGAAAAAGGCTCAAAGCAGCAGGGATTGAAAACAAAGGCTAAGTGGAGGAGGGGTGACATTTCTGGTCCGTCCCAAGCACATTCGCAGTGAGCCACCTACTGGCAGCTCGGCTTTTCCTTCTTGATTAGCTGATCCCTCAGCCTCTTATGGGAAGACCTGGGTAAACACGCTGGAACACTCCAGATGCCTTTTCAGCCAAACACAGGAAAAATAAAATCCAGGGGAAAAAGCAGGCAGAGTGGTGCTAGATGTCTCTGATAGAAAATGCTATTTGAATTCTAGCAGAACTACGGCTACATACATACCAGGTACCAAGAGTTCTTGAACATGTTATGTACTCTGCATAAAAATTTAAATGATGATTCAAATTACTTCAAGAGAGTAATCATTAGACCCATGAAGCTAAATAAACTAATCATTTAAACTAATTACATAACATGTTAAAAGTGTGGCATTGAACATGCAAGAGATCTGTTCATTCTTCAAAGCCTTCACTGTTTTTGTGCACAGATTTTTTTTTCTTGAGACATGACACACATCTAATAAAATAGCTGTTGGTATTTCTCCTTACCATGCTACCACAGGACGCTCCAGGGCCACCGCATGACACCTGATAATTCTTTATTATCTCCCAGGTTTACACCCTTCATCATCACAATGAAGTGACTTTCCTAAGGCCACACAGTCGGTTGAATGTATTAATATTGAAGTACTAGATTGCAATTCAGTTCAGCCCTTTGCTATATAAAAATCACAGTTTTAAAACTGAATAAGGCTAAGTGACCCTTCCTGGTCAGCTTTGACATGAAATTTTGAGGAAGTCAAGAGCACTGTATAAAGGGTGTGGTGGTTCTGGTGGGCCAAGGCCACCTGTGTCCTCCAGGGCGATTCTGGGCCTCACTCCCCAGCTCCCTCAGAACATGCCCTGTTCATATGGACACGGGGGCTTCTTGGTTATTTGTACTGCTGACTTCTCTATCAAGTATCATCCTGTATTTTGGAGTTATTTTATTTTATTTATTTTTTTTTTTTATTGATTGTTCAAAACATTACAGAGCTCATGATATATCATCTTTCATACATTTGACTCAATTGGGTTTTGAACTCCCCAAATACATAATGCAGACTCACTTCTGTTACATGCTCACCTTTTTACATAATGGCATATTAGTGACTGTTGTATTCTGCTACCTTTCCTATCCCCTACTATCCCCCCTCCCCTCCCCTCCCCTCCCAACATCCCTCTCTACCTCCTCTGCTGTTGTTCAATTCTCTCCCCTTTTTTTCCCCCACCCCCTTGCCCCTCATAACCTCTTATTATTTTGTGTATCACTGAAGATCTCCTACCATTTCCATATGTTTTCCCTTCTCTCTTCCTTTCTCTCCCCCCATTTGTCTTAGTTTACTGTTAGTCTTTTCCTCATGTCTTCCTTCCTGTTCTATTCTTAGTGGCTCTCTTTATATCAAAGAAGACATTTGACATTTGTTTTTTAGGGCTTGGCTAGCTTCACTTAGCATAATCTGCTCTAATGCCATCCATTACCCTGCAAATTCTATGATTTTGTCGTTTCTTAGTGCTGCATAATACTCCATTGTGTATAGCTGCCACAATTTTTTTATCCACTCATCTATTGAAGGGCATCTAGGTTGGTTCCACAGTCTAGCCATTGTGAATTGTGCTGCTATAATCATTGATGTGGCCGTATCCGTATAGTGCGCTCTTTTAAGGTCCTCAGGGAATAGTCCAAGAAGGGCAATAGCTGGGTCAAATAGTGGATCCATTCCCAGCTTTCCCAGGAATCTCCATACTGCTTTCCAAATTGGCCTCACCATTTTGCAGTCTTTTGGAGTTATTTTAAAGCCACTTTAATATTTGGTAAGTCAAGACCCTCAACCTCTATTTCTTTTTCATTTTTTCTTAGAATAACAACAATTAAAAAACAAAACAAAACACGTAAGCCAGACATGATAGTGCATGGCTGTCATCCCAGGGACTCTGGAGGCTGAGCAGGAGGATTGCAAGTTCCAGGTCAGCCTTGGCAACTTAGTGAGACTCTGTCTCAAAAATAAAAAATAACTCAGTGTTAGAGTGCCCCTGGGTTCAAGTCCTGGTACCACAAGTAAACAAAACAGATACTCTTAAAAATTTCTTCTTCATACATAGGATAATATAGGATGTTAAATATATTCACCCTCATTAAATCTCTTCAGGAAGCAGAAGAAGTCTCTGTGACTTAGGAATCATCCCCACCTGAGGCTGACAGAGGCTGCTACTCCCAGTGATTCTAGCAGGGTCATAAATGACAGGTAATTATGGCACGGCCATCAGTCAGGGTGCGCTTCCCGGGTACCAGGTGGGGTGTCCGCATTTTAAACTGGTTGTTTCATCTAATCCTCACAGCGGGTGCCTTGGCACCTTGGCATCTTTATCCCCACCTGATAATGGAGTAAACAGAGACCAAGAGAGCTTCGGTGTCTCGCCCAAGAGCACGAGACTGACTCCCAGCAGCGTGAAGTTCAGGAGTGAACCATGGAGAACACTTGCAGGATGGAGTCAGGCCTCGGCAGCCCCTGAGACAGCCAGCACCCAGACCAGCCTGCTCCCGCCTGCCTCCAACACCCAGTGTGTCACAGGAGCAGCCTTAAGGACAGTACCTCTGCCAGCCTGTCCCTCTGCAAAGAGAGTGAGGCTACAGCATGAGGAGGGTGGGCGGAGGACACCCTACGACTCTCAGGGGACTACCAGTGGAGAACTGGATGGCATGCCACAGCAGACTGAACGTGGGTGAGTCATGCTAACAGCAGCCATGGAGTAGGGCTTTTCAAACATGTCATCAGGCTCGTCTAGGCAAAGTTAGGATCAAATAAAATTCATACCAGACAAACGAGGTAGTCAGCCCCAACTGGAAGGCGTTCAACATAACGCTGGACAGTGGCCTTTCTAGACATAGTCTCGTATGCATACAGTAAATACCATCAATGTCATCTATCAAATGTCAATGGCATCCAACAAATGGATGCAACTACACATCCAATATTTTTTAAACTAGAACACAAATGGTCCTCTTACGTCTAAGAATTCACAAGTTAGTAAGAACTAAATATATAATGCAAATAAAAAAACATAACTATAGTTTAGGGCAAAACACATGGGGTGTTAAATTTGTGGACACGTATTAATTATATATTTCCTTCAACTATTGTCAGTTTGATTTCAAGATTTAATGATACTAGTGATAATAATAATATTCAATATTCTTACCTAGCATAGACCAAACACTACTGTTAAGATGAAGGATGTATTATTTTACTTAATTCTTATATTAAAAGACAGCCCTATGAGTTAGAATTACAGGTACCAGTGAGGAAACCGGCTCATGGAGAGGTTAAGTAGCTTCACTAAGGTCTCACCCTGGAAATAGAGCTTTGCATGTATACTTCTTTCTGTCACACTATGACGGCAATAAACACAAGGGTGGGTTCAAGGATTCACGATAGCAGCATTTTATGGAATTTGTGATAAAAAGAATGAAAAAGGTTAACTCGAGGCCAGAAGTCAAAAGACTGGTAAGCTGCTGGGGAAGCTAAAAGGAATGGCAAGTCAGGGTTCAACCGCGTGTTGTACTGAGAAGCAGAGGACAGAGACTCCCCTGCCTGAAGCCCAAGGACACCAGGGCTCTCTGCAGCAGAGCTTTTCACATGGGGTGCACAAACCTTTGTCACTAAGGCTCTCCAGGGAGTACCCAGATTCAGATTAGTCAACCCACGACCAAAATATCCAACAAGAACAACTCAGTGGAGAGGTTTATTTTGGGGTCACAGTGTCAGAGGTTCAGTCCGTGGTCAGCTGGCGCCACTGCCTTCAGCCTGAGGTTAGGCGAACATCATGGTGGAAGGGTGTTCAGCTCATGACAACCAGGAAGGGAGCAACAGAAACAAGATACAACTCCCAAAGGCATGCCCCCAGTGGCCTGCTCCTCTAGCTACACCCCACCTGCCTACAGTTACCATTTAGGAGTGCATTAATCCATCAAATGGATTAAACCACGGATTGGGTTACAGCTCTCTTAATCTCTGATCATTTCACCTCACAACATTCCTGCGTCGTCTAACATGAGCTTTCTGGGGGACGCCTCACTTCAAACTGTAATAGCTCCATTTCCTATTTTTAAACTGTCAATGACATCATTCTCTCAGGAAAGCCTCTAATGTCTGTTTTTCTCAACTCCCCTTTCTGCCAGTTTACAAATTAAAAAGTAAAAAATGTCTCACCCACCCCAACAGCACACTGTTCCAGGGCTCCTGGCCACAGGCCAGTTTGACACCCAGCAGTGGGATTGGTATGAAGAAAGCAAAGGGCTGGGATGGCTGGGTAGTGAACCCCATCTTAAGTCAGGCGGCTTGCAGCTTTCAGCTTTCAAAAACATTGAAGAGAAACCCAATAATGCATCAGCTGCTAGGCCACTAAAAATAACTTCTGATTAACAGATTGTTAAGTGATTGTGGTGTCTAACTGGTAAGAAATGCTCAAAGAATTGAGCCACTTTGTCACAACTCCTTCCTCTCAAGTCTGCTTCTTTATACCAGAAGGATTTGCTTGTGCTTATATCTACCAAACAAAACACAGGCTGGACATTGATACTGGACCCATTTGATTCTCAAAATAAAAGGGGACCCATCTGCACACTTATGGACAAGTGAAAAGAGAGACCATTCTCATTCAGAGATTCATTTCATGTGAAATTTTACTTATATGCTTAAAAATCATCAGAATCTGCAACATGTGTCTGTTTTGTCTGCAAGGTGGATCTATCTGTGGTCTCTATGCACTGTATACCAGGGTTCAGGATATATCAACATGTAGGAAAAAGCTGTGCAGGAGAACACACAGGAAGCAGAGCAAAGCCAGGGCCCTTCAGAAGCACAACTCAGCTCACACTTGGGTTTGATCTTCACCAGCAGGGTCCTGTCCTTCCGGGGATGGGACTACCATGCCAGTTCCTCTAAAGTCATCTGAGGAAGGCAAATGCCCAGAACTGTGGGCTGAGTGCACGAAGGAAGGCTTAGACCTCTGCTTGCTCAGCCAGGAGGAGGCAGTCTCCTGCTCTGGGGGATGCTGGACACAGAAAATGGAGTTGAGAGTGATCCCTTCCAGAAAAATAAGGGCAAAGCCCTTATTTGTTGGCCAGAGTCAACATCCAGGCTTGCTTTGGGCTATCCTCATGGCTACCAATAGGTACAATAGATGCTATGCACGGGGATTGATCTATCTACCCGCCTAAGCATCTAAGTGTCTATTTACCTATAGTATCGATAGATGGAGGGATGATGGATGGATAGATAGGTACTACACATATTCTTGGGAACTTAGGGTTACTGGAAATAAAATGTTACTTAATATTGATTTAAATATGATAATCAATAAGAAATTTGCAGAATAACAACTATATTAGGAAAACATTCTGAGGGGACAGTGAAGTGAAAATTATAGGTTTCAAGTAAAGGGAAAAGAAATAGCGAAGAGAAAATTATAGGTTTCAGGAAAAACAAAACAAGCAATGTAAAATTTTCAGAAATTAAAGAAAAGTTAGTTCATGTATTTTTAAAGGAAAGATGATGGGAATCAGTTGCCTGTGGTATTTAGAGTTGACCGGATTCATTGAACAGAATGGAAACAAAGTCGTATAATAAACTATGATAGAATTTTTTGATGTCAAAATAAAAATCTCTAAGAGATGAATAATTTTCCAGAAATTTTTGTAGAATGAACATGATTAAGTGATTTTGAAGGCCACTGCTATAGAGAAGGGCAGATGGTCAGGGAACAAAGAATACTATAGAGTAACCAGAGACCCCAGGAAGAGCCTGAAACTGTGACTGGGACGAGGGAGAGGAAGAGGTCAAGAGAGGGCAGGGGCAGGAAGTTGAGTGTTCATTAATGGCCCTCCTGGGTCCCCAAGTATACCACCAGCAGCAGCAATGGACACAGGCTCCCCAAGAGGCCAGGCGAGCTGCTGGAGTAAGTCATAGTGGGTCCTATCCTGTGTCTGCCTGGCCAGTCATGAGAAAGCAAGGTCACGAGAGTCACTCTCACCACCCACTTACACATGTTTTATTAGTTGCACGTGTTACATATTAATTTACTACAAACTTCCTACGAACTTCTTATTAATGAAATTACATATTAACTTATTACTAGTCAAATTATCAGAATATTGGAGCATTAAAATGTAAGAACATTGATTACTCACTGTTTGCTATCATATGTAAAAAGAAAGCATGCGTTTTCCTTTTGCTTTATTTTAAAACTAATATTGAGGCATTTAGAAAACTTTTATAAGTGTTTTATTTTTAAAACTTTTATTTATTTTAAAACTAACATTTAGGAATTTTAAAAACATTTATAAGCAATCGCCTAATGTGCTACTGTAATCTTTTAAACTGCACATACTGAATTATAGTTTTCACCAGTCTCTACCTCTTTAGTTGACCAAAGTGCACATGTACAGTCACACAGTAAGCTGCAAGTGGCTAACCAAAGACAGGAGACTCTGTCCTCAAATCCTCCCTGTCTCTGGCAGGCACAAATAGCCCCGGCTTGGCTGATAGTCACCAGGCTCCCATTTGGCAAGTGGGGCCCTGCTAAGTCCCCAGCTTAGCTCCCTGGACTCCACGTGACTTTCTTGCAGGCTGTTATGGGAGAGGGGACACTTTTCCAGCTCTGAGGGAGTCAGTGGGCTCCGTCTATGTTTAAGGAACTTTGAGATGACCTCACCCTTCCTGTTGCTCCCTCTCGCTTGTCCCCAAGCCTTACTGAATGGTATATCTGGGTTTGACCTCCCCTCTCTTCAGCATGATTGTACTGAGTGAAAACTTAATAACTGTCTTAATAGGTCCTTTTAGAAAAACCACCCCTTCATCTTTTCCAATGCCAGTGAACGAAACTGTTTATTTTTCCTCCAAAAATGTAACTTCCTTATATTTTTGTATCTCTGTAAACACTGTTTCTTTTGCCTGGTATGCTGGCCCCTCTGCAAGTCGGCTTTTCTCTTGGCAAAACTTTGGTTCCCATTTGGGCATCAAATCAATGGCAGACTTCTCTGTTACAAATCCCTTGATTTCCCCTAAATCACTCTCTCCATTGTTTCCACAACACTTGGATTTTTTGCCTGTTATGAATCTAGAATACACACACATCTCACATGTGCATTCTTGTTCCCAACCCAATAAACTAAAATGGTGAAGACTGTCTTGAATCAAGCAATGTACTACTATTATAAGATCAGGGCCCGACACACACAGTGTATGCCCAGATTGTTCAGCAAATGATTATGCCCAAGTGATTTGACACAAAAGAGCCTTCTATGACACTAATGTGACAGTGCTATCACCCATGACTTTTGAACAGATTCACAAAGAAAAGAAATAAGGTGTTTCAAAAATTTCCCTCTTCTTCATAAAAACTGGCTTCGGAAGTATTTGGAAGAATCTAGTAGGGACTTTAATTTGAAAGTTGGAAAGAGAGAAGATCACATAGTGATAGGAGCTTTTCTTGATATCCTAATACATGGCAAAGCACTCAATGTGACTGTATCTCTGTAAGTTTCCAGAAGGGATTCGACTTGCTCAACTAGGAGTAGACAGACATTCCGTGACACAGTGAGTGGCAGTGTATCGCCTCTGCCCAGCACTTGGTCACAGTTGCATTCTCCTGACCAGATGGACCTTCTCTTTTTCTGACTCTATGCCCCTCCCAAGGCTAAAGGACACACTTCAGGAGGAGGCAAAGAAGTATTGCTTTTCCCTGCTCTTGCCTATTCAGAAGACAGCGAGGTTAATTTGTTGCTCACGGCGGAGGCGGATTTGATGGCTTGCCACATCCCAGGCCTGAGCCTAGACTTCACCCTCCTCCAGCAGCATCGGCAGCTTCCCTCTCTGTCCACAGCTTCTGGGTGCTGCAGGTTCTAACTCCGCATAGCTCTTGGTCACACCTTATTCCGTAGCTAGGTCACAGCTGCCTCTGTTTCAGTTCAGGGCCTCCTCCTCGCACCAGGTCACTGAGGAATACCTGCCTCTGTTTTCTCTTCCCTGTTCCTAATGGCAAAATCCTTCTAAAGGCTATTTCCTTCTTAAAACCTGTAAATGTTTCTCACTATCTTTCAGTGGACGGTCCAAAACCTTATGGACATAAAATATTTTTTGGCCTGGATCCCTTCTACTCTACCCTCTCCAACCCACCTTCTGAGCTCACATTACTCAGAATTGCTGCGATTCACCACTGCGTGCTCTCCCTGGCTTCTCTACGCCTTCAATTATGCTTCAACACCCCTAGACAAGTGCAGGATGGGGGTTCTCCTGGGTGATTTTTCTTCTCTGCCCTTTAATCTTGAGGACCATGTCTATTCTTACAGTACAACTATTTCCCATGCCTAAGTCTTAGCCTATACCATTCTACTGAGGCCAGCTGTTCATGCAACAATAAATATCTATAAGAAATTTTTGGTGAGCAAAAATAAACAGGGGATGCTCCCTCCCTAGTACAGTTTAGTGGGGCATTACAGAGTATCACTGTCATTGCTGTGACCGAAACACTTGACAGGAACAATGTAGAGGAGGGAAAGGCTATCTGGGGATCATGAATTCCGAGGTCTCAGTTCACAGAGGGCAGACTCCACTGCTCTGGCTCCAGGTGAGGCAGCATATCATGGGAGAAGGACCCAGAGGAGGAAAGCTGCTCAGCTCATGATGGAGTCAGGAAGGAGAGGGGCAGAGAGGGGAAAGGACTGCAGGAAAGACGCACCCTTCCAGGGTAGCCCACAGTGACCCACCTCCTCTAGCCACAGCCATACCCCACCTGTCTATAGTCACCTCCCATTCCATTCAAACTAGGGTGGACGGAATGGGTCACAGCTCCCACAACCCATCATTCCACTTTTGAACTTTCCCCCTCTAACAGGAGCTTTTGGGGGACACCTCATAACATACCATAACAATCATCATATGATCACTGATCATGAACGTGAACAGGGAACTGAAGCTGTAATAAATGCCATAATAAATGTGGCACCACAGAACTTATAATCAAGAGGTTTAACTTGATCAGAGTGTCAAAGAAGAAATCTCTGACCAAGTGACTCTCCAACTACAGTGTGGAAGCTGTGTAAGTGACCAACAAGGGGTGAGAGTGGGCATTCTACAAAGAAGGCAGACCCAGGAGGGTGGTTGAGTTGGAGGACCAAGGCTGGTGCGGAACTCAGGGCTGCCAGCCACCACCTTGCCTGACTCCTCAGAGATGCAGTGCAGTCTGTGGGGCTTCCAGCCACATGCCTTCCTGAGCTCAGGGACACGTCCTCCTTTCCTTCACACACTTCGCACATGTTTGACCTTGACTTGGCTTCTGCTGCTCTGTCGACACTGATATGAAACACTGACTATGGTGATGCTGGAACGTGATCATAGTGTGATGTTTAGTAAAAAACAGAATACAGAACATCATGTAATGTATGCTGGCAAGTAAATGAAAACACAAAGATTGAGAGAAGAAAACTAGCAATTAATTTTAGCAGCTGGAGGTAAATTAACACCTTTCTATTAAACTGTAAACATGAAATTCAAGAAAATAATGTGAATGAAGCTAAGCAGATCATATAGATTTAAGTCTTAGCTCCTCAGGAAGAGCATGGCAGTGTCTTCAGTGATCTGATGTTAGAAGTATTAAAAGTAAAGTAAGCAACATTTTCTTGAGTGCAAATATAGAAAAGTACAAATATAGCTAAGTGGATATTGATTCCAGAAGGCTTCATGAACCCATATGTATGTAACACTCAAAACTAACATATTTGAAAATTTTTAGTACACAGGTTGTCTTCATAGTTGAAGTTAGTTTTAATTGTGAAGTAATGAACTTCCTAAAAGTATGGAACTCCTCCCAACCAAACAATAACCACCTCACCAAAAAATTTTAAAAACCATGACACTTTTACTATGTTAAAACAATGGATTTTGCAACTCCATGGTATTTTTGATCACTGTTTGACATATGGTTATGTTTAACATAGTTTTAATTTTGGACTATGCCATTTTATAGCCAAAGATGTTTTCACTTTAACTTAGCATTATTACATATATGTTTTTGCCACATTGCAATCTATAAAATCACAACATAAATCCCATCAAGTGAATTTATTATGATTTAAATATTATCCTTTATGGCTATTTGGGCTGCTCTCAAGTGTTCACTTTATAAATGAACATCTTTCCAGACCTCCATAAAGGTATATTTCCTTTATCTTACCTTCTAGAGTCACAGAAATGGGTTTATTTGCAGAGGGCATCAGTTTTAAGACTTTATAGTAAGAGGCAGACTCTCACAATGAATTAATGGAAGAAACTGCTTACATGGAGATGAGATAAAACTCCATACCAAAAAATAATGATAGCAGGAGGAACTACTTCTTTTAACCACGATGGTCTGCATTAGTCTTATGAATAACTGTACAACTGAAGGAAATGTAAGAAATAATCTTTTAAAAATGTTGAACAACAATCAAGAATTATGATCAATGAGAAATGGAAAATACTAACTTTTAATGGTGACAGCATATAAAAGATGACATTCAATAAAAGGGAATGGCTAACAAGTGAAAATTCATCTGGGTCACTGAACATTAAACAGCCTCAAAAACAAAGTTAACGAGCGAGCGGGCTCTAAGAGCCTGGGAGGAGAAGCTGCCCCAGTGTGAGAGTGCTTCCCTTGTCCTCTGGAACCCAGCAGCAGCCTACCTCAGGGTCATTCACGGCTGTGTGGCTGGTTTCTGGCTGGAGGAAAGAAGACCAAAGTGAAGACCACCACTTCTAGCCCTGGGCGACACACACCCCTCTGATGGTCTAAACGTTCCCTTCCCTTATCTACAGGAAGAAGATCCAGGCGAGGACTCAGGAGAAGAATCCAAGCCCTGGACTGAAGATACAGGTCCCTGAATGACTGTGTGGAGTAGAGAACCTGGCACAGATGCATGGAATTGAGGAGTAGCAAATAATCATATTCATGTCAAGCTGCTAGGCTTTGGGAAGTTGTTTTCTCAAGCAGTTTTCATAACCTGCTATGCCTGAAAAAGAAATGATAAGTAATAATATCTCAACTAATATATGAGAGAAGAGCTCAGAAAGAACTATGTCTAAATATTAATATGGGTTTATTGTGTTTGTGATAGTTTTCCCTGCTTACATTTTCCTGCATTATCTAATTTTGATTATCTAATTTCTTAAAAATCAAGATGATATATCACTTTTAATAACAAAATGTACTTTACTTTCTCTAACATGATTCTTTATATTTGTTTTTAAATTCACCTGCCAGTTTATTTTGTTTCTTTCCAATTTGTTAATTCTGCTTGCACTTGCCTTTGGTGAGTGTTGGTCCTTCTTCACTGAAGTATAATGCCTCCTTTGGTTTTTAAACTATGTGGTGTGTTGCATAGTCTGTCCATGTAGGCTTCCTTGGTCATATTTTTTTAATTGCTCCAATTCTGTGCTATTCTAGTTTTATTTCCTTTATAAAAATTGTTTAAATCTAATAGAGATAGATAGTTCTTTTTTACTAGTGCTTTTGAAAATGCCATCTGCTTTTCTTGTTTGTTTATTCTTCTTGATAAATTGTTGGGATCATTCTGCTTAAAAATATGGGACTATTATTTTGCTATTGTTTAAGCTAACAAATACATTGCATCTCATTCTCTGTCATTAGTCAGTACCTAGAAATCACCTTTTATGTCCCCCTCCCCTTGGTCACTAGTATTCTAGTATTCCCCATTTGTATCTCCTCTGCCACCATCTTTCCATTCCAGCTCCTTATCAATTAATACGTGGCCTATTGAAACACGCATGCCAGTGACAACCCAAATGTTCTGTCAGTACTCCGTTTCACTTGTATACTCAGGGTTCTTTAATACAGCAATTGATTCACAATGTTTAGTGCCTAGAACACGATGTTTAATAAACACTGATTTTATTCTTTATCATTTCCCACCCCCTCCACTATCTAAGTAGAAAAATGTGCACTCTCAAGCTTCTGATTCTTCCCTAACACTATTTAGCTGAGACATTTCCTATGAAATGGAGGGGAGTAGCAGTTGCAGCAGACCTAGGTCTTGGCTCCACCACAACTGCTAATGCTCCTTAGAGCACTGTGAAAAAATCAGTCTAGCCAGGCATGGTGGTGCACGCCTATAATCCCAGCAGCTTGGGAGGCTGAGGTAGGAGGGTTATGAGTTCCAAGCCAGCCTCAGCAACTTAGTGAGGCCCTTAGAAACTCAGTGAGACCCTGTCTCTAAATAAAATTTTTAAAGGGGTGAGGGTGTGGCTCAATGATTAAGCACCCCTGGGTTCAATCCTCAGTATCACAATAAATAAATAAATAAGATAAAATAATCACAGTCTAAAAAATCTCTAGCTTGCTTCCCAATATTCTGTAATCCTTTGCTCATGACAATCTCCTTTGAAGAAATGCTTACAGTACAATTTATAAAAGGAGTTTTGCATGAATTACTCCCATATACACTGTGAAAATTCTTTTTAAAATCAGATCAAAGACACCAAAGTGAGGAGGGATACAACTAAAAGCACAAAATTGAAGGTTAAAAAAATAGTCATATGGAGGGAAATTAAGGAGACAGAAACATAAGACCTTGGAATTCTTCCTAAATTCAAGGCTCACCCAACACCTCTGGTCCTAAGGCTGCAAGAGGTGTCAAAAGGAAATCATGGGTAGCAACTCTGGGGGCCTGCAGGCTGTCAGCCTGAGCAGTCGTGGAGGGAGGGAGAGGAAAGAATGGGAAGCATGGGCTAGTGCTCCCCCTCCCTCTGGGCTCCTGGGAGACCGGGAGCTGAGGATGCCACCTAGCCAGAAGCTCAGGAAGAAGTCCCCACCCTACAGGTGATCGGCACTGAAAGGAGCCAAGGCGTGAAGAGGCCCAACAAAGAGAAAGAGGCCAGAGAAAGCACAGCTAAAAAGATCTGTAAACTGACAGACAGACTGAAAATTCAGAGGGATAACGAACAAAAGAAAGTGGTTTTTTCTTTGTTGCATTGACTATATAGAGTATTGCCAAAAAAGGAGAAATACATAAATCAGGTTAAAAGTCAAGGTGTGAACTTCAAACTATGTAAAAATACACGAGAATTCAAGATTTAAAAAAGGAAAGTATTTAATAGAAAGTAAAGCAAAAGAAGGCAGGACAGAACTTGGAATGTACCACTGATCAAAACAGGAGAAGTGAGGAAGTATGCTATTTTATTATTTTATTATTTATTTATTTATTTATTTATTTTTATTTTAAATCACTTTGGTTTTTTTTTTTTTTTTTTTTGCAGGGTATGGTGGCACTCACTTGTAATCCCAGCAACTCAGGAGGCTGAGGCAGAAGGATCATGAATTCAAATCCAGCCTTAGTGACAGCGAAGTGCTAACCAACTCTGTGAGATCCTGTCTCTAAATAAAATGTAAAATATCCCCAGTACACTGCTCCCCTCCATCACTTTTTCTATACTGAAAAGAATAATTGTACTTAAAATTTCACACAAATAGCATAATACTTTTCCTTAAAAATCGTAACAGAAGACCTTAAGAGAGCTGAAAAGTTACGGTAAATTATTATTTTATGTTGAAATGTGTCCACGGCAAACTGTCTGGCCCACATTAATTTTTCTTTGTGGAACAATAAGCTCATAGAGATGAGAGGGGAGAAGGAACAAGCATGTGCTGGGCAGTGCACAGCCAAAACCAGATTGTTCTCTACTTGAGAAAAAAATTCCATAAACTCAGGTTTTCTTCATTGCCAAGATGGCTGATAAAACATACATTTTAAGATATATAATTATTGATAAAATACACTTATGGTTCATGAATTATTTGTGGATACTTTAACACAATGTCCTTTTCCTGTTTTGTGTGAGCTTGTCTTCTTAGACCTGAAGGCGTGGACCAGTGAAGGATGCCCTGTGGGGTGCAGTGGCTGAACACAGCACCTTCCTCTCTGACCAGAGGACCACACCCAGTGAGAAGGGAAGGCAGAAAGGCAGCTCACACAGTGTCTTCAGGTGAACAATGGGGTTTGCTTTATAAACAATTATGAAAGAATGACAAATGGTGGGGAGAATAAAATTTAATGTAAAGATTCTTTCTTGTAATACTTCATGTATACTTTGCATATTAAATCAGATAGGAATGACTGATGAAACAATGTTTTATTAAATAAGCCATTCTAAAGTATATTCATCATCAGAAAAAAACTAGGATAATGAAAAAATGATATGATTTAGCTTATGTAATTTATTTGAAGCCTTAGACAATGGAAGGAAATGGGAAAATGAAAAAAGAAATCAAGTAAGTGTTTGGTAAGTCAGTCCTTGAAATAAAGCTGAGTGGTGCCAAGAAATAGATCAGAAATAAAAGTAAGCAAGAGCATGTAAGTTACTCTTTCTGTGTTTAAAACTTAATATGCCAAAGTAAAGGGAGAAAACTTCTTTTGTTTCAAGTTTGATTACTAAGTAGCACATTAGAATCAAATCCTGCATTGGCCTATTAGAACATGATGAGCCTTGATCGGAGCCTGTAACATGAAATCTCAGCTTCAGGGGTCGAAGATGCCCCCACAGTAACATGGATTATATCAGCAAAAAGGCCTGGGTGGAAACAGAAACCACACTCTACACAGCAGTGTCCTTAGGCATTTTTTTAAAAGGCTGGGAGCAGGGACAAAGACCTGAAGGCCTACTTTTTGCAATTATTATTTTCTTAAAATCAAACAATTCCAAATGTAGTGGGATGTGAAAAACAGAGAATTTGCAGGTAGAAATATGAATTAAATATAAACATACAAACATATATACATTGGTATGAGGGATATTAAATAGAATATTTGGGAAATGTAATGTACATAATTCAACTGACCTAAACAAATCATTTTTAGTGATTTGTAACCTGTGATGTATGCATTCATTATACGATGCATTCTAGTTTTAGATGGTTTAAAAACACCTTTGAGTGCTAATACTTTCATTTCAAATTTTATATAGGTAAAGTTTGCCTAATTTATTCAATGGCTATTAAACATTTGAAGTAGAAATAATATTTATTTGACTATTCTTCATTTTTTAACGTTTACAGTCCACAATGCCAATTTCCTGTGTATATTAAAAAACCTTAGTTTTGTGCTAAGATGTCTGTCAGATCTCTTATGAAGTGCATGAGGTCCTTCTTCTAGAGACAGAAAGTGGAATGACTGTTGGCAGAGGTCATGGGCAGGGAAAAATGGGGAGCTGTCCAGTGGGCACAGGGTCTTGGTCTTGAAGATGCAAAGAGTTGTGAAAATTGATAGACCACAGCACACTGTACTTTACACTACTGAACTGTATCATCAAAAGTGATTAAGATAGTAAACTTTATATTATATGAGTTTTACCAAAAAGAACAGAAAAAAGATGCTAACAATATTTATATAAATGTAATAAAAAATAAAACTGTTATAATGAAAAGAACTCCTACGACCTAAAGTTTTTAGATCAATTAACATTGATTTTCTTGGGGGCCTTTTTGTGTTTTTTTTTATTATCTTCAGTACTGGGCATCAAACCTAGGGCCTTGCACATGCTAGGCAAGGTGCTCTACCACTGGGCTATGCCCCTAACCCTTGTTAAATTTTGACACAGAGTCTTGCTAAGTCACACAGCTTGGCCTAGAACTTGGGATCTGATTCTGCTGCCTCAGCCTCCGGAGCAGCTGTGGTCACAGGCGTGCCAGGCGTGCACCACCATGCTCAGTGCATTGTTAAGAGAAAAAGAATTCTCCAATTCCAGAAAATCTGCACAAATAACTTATCAACATAAGGGAAATAAAAGCGCTTTAGACATCAAAGGGGGAAGTGTTGGTGGTGTCATCTCTGAGAGATGTGCTTGCTAGAGACGAAATAAGGAGGAGTCATGTTGACACCAGAAGGAACAGTATCTAAGCACTAGAGTGACACCATCTTCCCAGAGCCCCCAAAGGGCTAGCAATATGGCTACAGTTCTGTAACAGAAAGGCCACAGGGCCCATTCTTTTGGGAATAATGAGAAATTCAATATGATCTGTTTACTCTGCACTCCTACCTGAATACATTGAGAAAGCACTAGTAAAAGGAATTCAACAAAAATCAAGGGTGAAGCACTGCTTCTTTCAAAGGTTGATTAAACTTCATTTTATAAATTATACAAAAATATTTTTTAAAAAGAAACAAATTACACAGAAAGCTATTAGAATTGCAAATCACTAATTTTGTTGTGTAGAAAAGAAAACCATTGCCTAACAAAATAGTTTACATAGAATCATCTTCTATATTTATTTGGGCAAAAAATTAAAATAAAAAATGAAAAAACTACTCTTATGTGCAGAAAGAAGCTAGAGGTTCAGTTCCTAAGAGAAAAACACTTTAAATATTAAAACCATAGCACATGATCCATCATTCTGTTTCCCTGCATTCCTCCCATTATGAGAAGAATTTATGCAGAAGCTTGTCCTTCACAGATGTTAATTATGGGAATAATGTAAGCGACATTGTTCCCACTTTCTTTTACACAGCAAATCCCAGCAGATACTAAAGAATAAAATAGATGCTGGTGAAAGTTGTTTAGAATTTGTAAATGCCACTAACAAAAGCTGATCATCAAAACCATTTTAAACCAAATACAGGAAGAACTTTGTTTTATTTCTTTCAACTGTTAAGAGTGAAATTCAGAAGCAAGCAGCCCATGTAGACTAGAATACTGATAGGACATATTTGGTAGATTTCATTTATCAAAAATGATTAAAATTTATTTTCTTAAATTCTTTCTTCTGAAACCCATATTTTAATTGGGCAGTAAGTAAGGTTAATAAAAGAAACAGAAAAATAAATTTGAGTGTTTATAATGCCCAGACATATATTGCCATGTGGTATTCTGATGATTCACCATGTTGTATGATCCAGGCACTACTGGGCGAAGAGCACATGCTGATGTCCAGCATCTAACCCATGCCTGCAATCTTAAATGCCCAATAAGTACTTGTTGTTTGAAATATTTAATAAAGCAAGGAAAGTGTATGAATATAAGTTGAGCATCATTCACTTCTCACATGCAGACCTACTTAGATGAAACAGGTAGTGGTGAAAGAGTCAGATTGGAAGGGTATATTTTCAAGACCCTCTGGTCCTATTTGTCTTTCACTGTGCCTCAGAGACCACTCTGCCATGACTGTAGCCATCTCGAGTGCATGCCATTGTGGCCCCTGAGCAGCCCTGGTCAGTTTTCCCTGCAGTTTCTCAGCAGACTACAAACAAACAAAACCATTAAAGTGATATATAGAGGTCTATGATCAGGACCTTGAGGCCAACAGAGCCAGAAATGTACCCTATGTCCTTGACATTAGCTTAGATGAACCAAGGACATCCCAGATTGGATGAGGCCACTTTTGTCCTAACCACTTTATAAGACCCTTACTTTGGCCCAAACCCCGGGATCCACTGGTCTTGCTGGCACCCCAGACCACACTTCTGTCAGAAAGTTCCCAATGAACTGCATTTTGTACATCCTGGATTTGTCTGCCTCTTTCTTCAGGGCGATTTGGAAACACGTCTCTTCAACTGAGATCAGGTTTTTCTAGAATAACTTAATAAAGATTGTACTCTTTCAGGTTTAAGGAGTAAGCAATATATATTTTGGAAGAATCAAGTAGTCCTCAATGGGATGATAACAGAAAAGATGAGTTTTTATAGTAAGCAGAATAAGGCAAAATAAAGCAGATCAAAAATAAGACAGAACAGATCATTGGAATGACAGTACCAATCACGCTCATGCATGTTTCTCAAATAAATGAGTAAATTAATAATAAATTTAGAAGAGCTGAGAATGAGCATGTGGGGAGTAAGGAGAGTGAGGAGGTACTGGTCTGGGAGGCTGCTTTGGACGCTTCAATCCTCCTCCCCAGTTCCTCCCTTCCACTAAAGCTACCCACATTACTATGTGCTTGACAAGTAAAAAGTGCTCAAATACAAAACCCGTACATCCCACCCAACCTGCACACTTTCAACTAATTATCACCCTTTTATGCCTTTCTTCAAACACTTCGATTTGCTGCTGGATAGGCAGAGAGCCACAGACCCACTATTTGCCTAGGATAAGCATCATATTGAGCTTTGCAGAAACATCATCATGTCCCCAGGGGTGGGGGACAAGGATGGATGCCCTTCTGTGGAAATGGTAAAGGACAGCTCTTTGATATGCCTGAGCACAGCCCTGAGGGGAGAGCCTGGCCAAAAGCATTTCCAGTGATGGCCAGGAGTGGACTTGGGCTGACATTCTTCTGAAATCAAGGGATCTAGCGTGACTAAATCCAAGTGGGTGAGTGGATGGGACAAGCCAGGGTCATATGCAGTGGTCTTTATGGTGACATAAAAACCTCAACCCTGCCAGTGATCCCCCCGCACCCCAATTTCCAGTCTGGTTGTCTGCTTAAGTTCAACAATTCTCCCAGCAGACCTTGAGTATGGGAAAGTTCAATTCCTGGTCACCCACCCACCCAAGTTAATTCACTTAGCTTGGACCCCTCTCTTTTAACTTTGCGTTTAGCCTCAGCCCATCAAGAGTAATTTAATCAGCAAGGCTCAGTGGTTCACACCTGTAATCCTAGTGACACAGGAGGCTGAGGCAGTGACATGGGAGGGTGATGACCAAGTTGCAGGACAGCTTCTACTACTTAGTGAGGTCCTAAACAACTTAGAAAGACCCTGTATCAAAATAAAAATAAAAACAGCTGGGGATGTAGCTCAGGAGTAAAGCATCCTTGGCTTCAAACCCTAGTACCAAACCAAAACCAAAACCAAAAAAAAAAACTCAAACAAACAAACAAAAAACAGAGTAGTTCAATCAAACCAAAACATGTATTGATGTTGCTGTATCGAAAAGAATGGGGACAATGAGGTAGAAGAGAGAGAACTGATCAACCAATGCTAATCCAATGAACTATTGTGGCATTCTGAAAGCTGACTACCATCGTCCTTCAGTATCCATGAGGTTGATTCCAGGTTCTTAAACCAACAAGTGCTCAAGTTTCTTAAATAAAGCAGCTTAGTGTTTACATGTAACCTGCACATCTCCTCCTGTACAGTCACCTCTAGATGACTCATAATATCCAACACAAAGTAAATCCTATACAAATAGTTATTACTCTATATTACTCAAGAAATCACAACAAGAAAAGACACCTACATGTGCAGTAGAGACAAGGTCCTTACCTTCGAGTGTCTCTGACCCACAGCTGGTTGGACCTGCAGATGGGAGTGGAAGGCCCACCATATGCCTCTTCTCTGTTCATGTTGTGCTGGGATGCAGCCCTTTGTTGTCGCTGGTGGTAACTTTCTACACTACAGTGACTCTGTGGTAATGTTCTATTTAAATAAATAAGAATGAAAAACAAGTGCAATAGAATCTCGGGTCCAAATGGGCTGTGACCTGGGATGCGATGCGCTATTACACTACAAATGAAGACACAGTGGGAGTGAAAGCTGGGCTCCCGGCCTCCCCACCTTTCTCCCCCGCACACCCTGGGGGGAGGAAGCTCCTCACCCCTGAAGATGAGGTGAGGTGGTGGGAAGAAGCTGAGCACTGCAGGCTTGCTGTTTCCCCACCTGTCGTGGGGCATGCCCCTTGGACCCCCTGTATTTCTCCAGGATCGGCTAGCAGGTTTCTTTTCTTATGAAACCGGCTGAAGAAAACGCCAGGGTGAGTGGTAAGTCAGGACTTCCCTTGCTGGTGAAGGTTCCCGTGTCATGCAGAAGTCACGTAAGTTCCCCTGCCTGCTTGTCTCCTTGGCCGGAGCCTCAGCCACGAGCCAGGCCTGGAGAGGACAGGGCTTTCCCCTCCCCGGCAGCACTGGAGTTTTCTGATTCCTGGAATCTGGACTTGATCGTGCATCCTTTCAAAGGCATAAATATTCTACTACTCTCAATAAGAGAAATGGTTTTGATATTTTTATACTTCCTCTGCTAGAAAACTCTCATGAGATTTACATTAAGGCACAGATGAACATTTTGTGCTATTAATTTTGTAAAGCAAAAAAAAAATTACAAAAATATGTATGCTACTTAATTCCACAAAATTGAGATTTCTAATATGATAGTTTTGATATTCAATTGATTTCTCAAGTTTCCCCACTAATTTTATGGCTAACAGTGGGACAAACAATTGGTTTATAATTTCCCAAATATGAGACAGTCTGCACTGTTTTTACTTTTTCTTCATTCTACCTGGGACTGCACACTGCACAAAGGCCTGCCTCACCACTGATTTCCACTGCACCTGAGCCCCTGCAGCTATCCAAAATGTGTCATGGATGAAGGACGCTCAGGACAGACAAATGGGGCATGTGGTTACCACTGGGCTCCACCTACCTTAACTCTGTAAGTTTCTCAGATACCTCATGTTATGTGACCACCGTAGGAGGGTTGTTCCTATGTGTAGACAAAGAAAGAGGGCAACATGTGCCTCTCACCCATCTGATTTGTCTCCAAAAGCAGGCCCACAAGTCTCCCTGTAGGAGGGCTGTGCCTGCATGGGAAGCCCTGCAACCTGTGTCAACACAACCTCATCCAGAACCTCTCATCCAGATGTCCCTGCCTGTGGGACTCTCATCGTTTCTTGCTTGTTTTCCTACTTACTAGTAATGATTTTATTTTCACAAGAAAAGAGAAAGGGGACATAAAAAAAGTGGACTTGTTCAGTGATGTAGGTTTCTTATATTTAAAATAGGAGACTAACTTTTCACAAAGGACATATTTATTTGCATATACTCATAAAATATTTATGTTGAAATGTACAATACACATTTATGATCCCTTAATTAGTGTTTTATTTAAATAAGAATTTAATTAAAATGCTATTTGTTAATTCATTAGTGTTGGACTCCAATACTGATTTTCGCTAATTTAATAGGTCCTAAAAATACACTTTTTATTTGCTTTTCACTGAATACCTCTTTTAACACTTTCTTTTATTGGCTATCACTACATTTTACAAAGAGAATAATGTCAAGTTAGGACTTTTTAAAAAATAATTTAGAGAATATTACCAAACGACCTTCACTTCAATGTTGCCTTATTGGAGGAGAGACTTCTGAGCACCTTACAAAGCTGTTCCCTACCCTCTCACCTTCATCTCTTTCACCCCACTTTATTTTTCTTTAAAATATCATTCAACAGGCTCTCTATTTTCCATCGGGTAGTTTAGATTCTCCTGCTATAATGGAAGCACCCTGAGGCCAGAGCAGCTGCTCACTCCATGCCCTACAGTACTGGGCCTAAACAGTGCCCAGCAGGAGGCAGGTGCAGGTCACGTCTACTGACCGATGGATGCTTCCTACCAATTCCAGGGATGGCAGCTGGGTGACGCACAGTTAAAAATAAGAATACAATGTCAATTGTTGGTGGGATTGCAAATTGGTGCAACCTCTATGGAAAACAGTATGGAGAGTCCTTAGAAACATTGGAGTTGAACCACCATTTGACCCAGCTATTCCACTCCTCAGTCTACAGCCAAAGACTTAAAAACAGCATACTACAGTGACCTAGCCAAATCCCTGTTTATAGCAGCTCAACTCACAATAGGCATTTTCTCTGTTTTTCTACAGGATACCTTTTCCTAAGCATCCTTCAATGGATCAATGGGAGAAAAAAATGTGATACACACACACACACACACACACACACACACACACACAGAGAGAGAGAGAGAGAGAGAGTGAAATATTACTCAACCATAGAGAAGAATGAAATTGTGACATTTGTGGTAAGTGGATGGAACTGTAGAATATCATGCTAAGTGAAATGAGCCAATCCCCCCCAAAAACAAAGGTTGGATGTTTTCTCTGATTTGAGGATGCTAACCCCAAACAAGGAAGGTTGAGGAAGGGAATAACAGAAATAGATTGAACTAGACAAAGGGAAATGAAGGGGAAGGAGGGGAATAGGAAAGACAGTAGAATTAATTAGTCATAACTTTCCTGGCCTTGTATTTGTATACATAATTAGGGGAACTACATATCATGTGTGACCACAAGAGTGGGAAAAAATAAATAGAGCTATCACAAGATCTCTAGGGCTTGAAAATAAAAATTAAAAAAAGCATTTTCATTCTTTTTTCCTGGCAGGTGAAAATTACAATTAATACTGCGTTAAACAAACAACAAATATACAAATTTAATATTCTTATAAATTATTTGGAACAGCATTTGTGATGTATTAGGGGCTTTGGAAGGTCACAGCCCTTCCGGAATCCACCCTCATGAGAGGAAACATGAAAATATGTTACTATCTTATTCAGCAATGAGACTAATACTAGCATGTGCTGGTTTTCCAGAGAGGGCTTCTCTGCCCACTTGGGGCGGTAACTTGGAGCCCCATCTGCAGGACCCGAAGTCACTGGCTGCGGAGGCTGCAGGGAGGAGGACCAACAGGGTGTTGGAGAAGAGGCTGGGCACGGGTTATGAGGCAGAAACAAGACAGACTCCTGGAGATCTACGCGCACACAGATTCCTGCTGCATAACGGAGAAGGCAGCAAATGAGGAGAAGAACCGGAGTGATTACTAGCGAAGCCTCAGACCGATGCTTTACATTAACAAGAACCAAACTTCTCATCAGAAAGGTTTTCTGCAAAATGGTGTATTCCATAGAGGATATGTTCATTTGGTTATGGAGATCATTATTTCTGTAAACTGATCTAAATTCTAATATTATTGACCAGACAAATGTTCCTAGTAATATTGCAACCAACCAGCGTGTTTTCCTTTTCCCCTCTCCCCAGAGGTGCACCAAAGCCGACCTGGCCCACGTTTCTTCTTCCTAAAAGGAACCATCTGCTAAATTGCTGTTTGAGATTTGAAGCTAGTCCCAATTGTTAGTTTATTAAATGTAATAAGTTACAATAATGAAGTGTTAAAATTATAAGTCACACAGGCAGAAAAAGCTGGAGATTCCCAAACAGAATTATAAAAATCTTAACTTTTGAATTTTTTGACTTGTGGCTTTAATATCACCAGTCTAATACACCAGTGTGTTTCATAATGCATTTAAAAATATAAAGAAAAAAGGAAAAAAAAAAGAACGCAAACGAGTAATCCCTTTTGTGTATACACAAATACTTCTTGATTACCCAAGTGACTTTTCCAAACTGGAAAGTAATAACAAACCCAAAGTGATTCCTTCTGTGAAGAAAGACTTAAAAAAACAAAATTCTCTCAAGTCCAATGTTATACTTTGTTAGTTTTAAAAAGCACTTAATGGTATTTAGTAAGATGTCATTCAACTTACTGCAAATGGAAAGCATTTAAAAGATGTTTTTCAATTGATGGGTTGGTGCCTCTCAGGAGATTCACCATTACTAGGTGAAAATAATGAGATGGCAAAGGGTCACCACATCCACCTTAATCTTCTGAGTGAATATTAGAAAATGAATATTGTCATCTTAACTATAGTACTGAGATAGGAAAAAGGTACATATGCACACACATGTGAACACACACACATGTTACACACATACAAAGATGAGAGTTGTGGCTGGTACTCTTAAAGTCTTTTCCTTGTGATTTTTCTAAACTAAAAACGTGCTATCTTGAAAGAAGATCTAATCTATGCATATATGTATAATCACACACAAAATCATACACTAACATTGGCTGATTGCATTTGCTCAGTGAAAGAACTGTAACATGCAAAGCATATTTTATTGTTTTTACTTGAAAAAGAGTTGGTCTCACATTGAGGGAAGATTGTGTTTTAAGATGGTCCCCCCCCCTTTTTTTTTTGCATCTAAGCTATTAACCTAAATGAAAAAAATAAATCTAAAGCCAAGCTCTTAAGTTAATTGAGAAACAATTCTGTAGAATTAATGAAAAGCCCTCTGGTCAACATGACAAAAAAAAATAATAAGACTATCAATACTGGATGAAAATTTTAAAAAGATACGACCGTCCTCAGATGCAAGAGAGGCAAATACAAAGTACCACCACCCCACCCCCCGCCCTGTAAGTAGAGGAAACTGTGATCTAGAGGGGCAAGCAGAGGCCTGATGAGGAAACACACTGCAAGCACTAAGAGGAGTTAGAACCTGGGTGCTGTGGGGACACACCAGAGAGCCTCCGCAGTGGTCAGTTGTCTTCCACCAGGACCCCAGGGAGTCCCAAGTAAAGCAAACTCAAATCCACACCACTATACCTGAAGGAAACAGATAAATGCAAAAGAAACTTAAAATGCATGTTTTTAAAATAGATAACCTTTTAAAAATAGTAAGAGAAGCCACAGAGTAAGAAAAGGAAAATAAAACCCGTATGTCTTTTAAAGAAACAGATGTACATTCCAGAATTGATATTCACTGAAACTACAGTTGAGAAAATTTCAACAGACAAGTTAGAGATTAGATTAAACCTAGTTGAAGAAGCAAATTAATAAAGTGGAAGACAGAGTTGAAGAAATCAACTCAATAACACACCATGAATTAAAGATAGAGATCCAGAGATTCCAATGCCAGAATGAGAAAGTCCAGCTTGTATTTAACAGGGACTCTAGAAGTTTTCAAGTTCCAATTAAATACATCTTCAAAATTCATGCTACCTAAATACATACTAATAGTGTTTATTCCAAAATATAAAGTAGAACTTGGAAGTTAGAAACTTGGTAACTAGTATCTCTTAGTAAAGTCTCATTGATCCTGGGATTGACACAATATGTAGTGATATAGGGATGTGGATTGATCTCTTGAAAGTTATCCAAAACATAAAACTCACTATATTTTATATGATAATAAAAAGACTAAAGTAGGAGAAAAGCAAATTGTTGGCAAAATGCATTCACTGACATAGACGAAATGTGAACTAGTAAAAATATCATAGTCTTTCAATTTGAAAATTTTAACTATAGAAATTATTTGAACCACATCATTAAAGCAACAAATGTTCAATATTTACTGCATAAAAGATGAAGAATTTATGATCTACACAAGAGGAAGCAATTTGCTTTAAGGTTTGATATGCACTCTTTGGATGGTCTTCATCTTCTTCCTTCAATTGTGATCTATTTAGACAGTGAGCTTTTTGAAACCAGAGCTCATATCATCCAGGTGACATGGGGCCTAGCACTGTGTCTTACACATTGTAAGTACGCAGCTGCCTTAGGAATAGGCAAGTCACCATTGACTAAGAATCGATAAGGTCACACTACTTCTCTGTAATGGAATACAGCCCAGTAATGCATAAAAGCAGATTGGACTCAATGGTTTTAAATAACTTCCCACAAGAGTCCCTGACGCTGTGTCTCCCAACACACCACAACATTATCCGTGAAGACACAGAAAAAGGAAAATTCAACATGCAACTGAAAACTAGTATGATAATGAATGAACAGGCAGAGATGAAAGGAGGTGCTATAGATGAGGCCAATGAAAGTGGATTGAAAATCACAATTATAGTCGACTCTCACTTGCAACCATAGGGACTCATGCAAAAGTAGAGAGTGGCTTCATCCCTTCTACATTTTCTTCCCTATCAGAAACATAAGGGCTGGAATAAACCAGGGCAAGGAGTAGATAAGAACCAGCCCACCTACCTACTACCATGAAATAACAGCTCTTTAAGACAAAGTGCTATAGGCTTTTATCTCATCTCCGTCAGGACCCCAATTCCTACATCCCTTCAGTCAACTCTCATTCAGAATACAACCAAATACTGGACCCAGGTAGGGACAGAGAGTTTGGGCAGCACATTGCATTTTATCTTAGAAAGCACCGTGCCTCACAAGTAGAATGCTATGGGGAAGGATTGAGGCCACAGAGCTGGGTACTTGTACGGTTTGGGGATTATAGGCATTTGCATATCTACTTTAGCACCCAAAGTTACAGAAGATCCTCTTTTAGACCCACAGAATAGAGCTAGATGGAACACACTCAAGGTACTGGTCAGTATTCCTAAGTGTAGCTAAATTTGGAGTTCAGACAGTAATGGATATAGTGATAATAAAGAAAAACATAAAGCTCTCCCAGAATTTTTTAAAAAACGGATAAAGAGATGAAAATATTGAAGGAGACAATAGTAGTAATGATAGGGTAGAGTATTACCATATAGTCTACATACACTATTCTAAGAATAAAAATTGAAAAATTGTGACAAAAGTAATAATTAAAAATATAACAAAAGAAACTTTCCTCAGTTGAAAAAAAGTTTCAGATAAGAAGACAATGAACTAACCGAATTAAACAAGAATGAATGAAAAGAAAAACATACCCAGAAACAACTTGATAAAAAGTAGTGTAATTACTCAGGCTGCAAAACAAAATATACAAACAAGCAAATAAGAAGGGATTCTGTCAAAGGAATAAAAATCATATTGGCCTTAATTTCTCAGAAATCATATGTTAGGATACAATGATATTGTAATTTAAGAATGCTAATTTCTATTCAATTGTGTTTCATGTATAAGGAAGCTGAAAATTATATTTACAAGGTATTCAAAGGTTCAGAAATATTAAATTCTTGCATTCTTTTTTTATAAAATTGCTTAAAGATGTATATGAACAGAGTGATATATCAAAATAAGAACTCATGATTTGGGAACTTATGGCTAGAAAGATTTGTGGGTTTTATTTTATGCAAATTAGAACATGATCTTGGAAATTCTGTAGAATTATTAGTTGTAAAGAAGATGTCTGAGATTAGGGATTGAGATGGACTTTATAAAGATTCTGGCAAACTGTGTTTACTTTTAGACTTTTCCTAGAATCAAGAAATGAGCTTTGTACATAAGAAACTTCTTCTTTTTAAAATAATGCTTTCTATTCTCTTCAAAAACATGCTTCTATCATGCTCACAATGACAAGTCCACATACACATGAGAATTACCACAGGAAAAGCCATCTGTGGTCTTGCTAAAGTAGAACTACACGTGGAAACACATTGCTATAAATCTTTGCAAAGGTCTTAGTAATGACCATTGAAAACTTACAATCACATATTAAAAGATGGCTATCTGTTGTTGCTGTTGTTAAATTGAAGATAACTGTTAATATTAATATCCATGTGGCAGTAATGCCCACTTCAATCTCTTCCTTTTAAATTGGTCCTTTGACCTCTTCAAAATTTTTCATATGAAACTTAGTCTCAACAAAGTAAAATCATATGTGTAGGTAAAAGACTGAACAGAAACATATCTGGATGAGTTGAATCTTTTGTATTTATTTTATTGTTTTCTAAATTTTCTACAATGATCATGTATTGCCTTCTATCTAGAAAAATTGAAATATTTAAGTATACATAACTTCATATACTATAGAACAATGATGATTTTTAAGAAGGAATTGTCTATGCTATGATCTGAACTGTGCAAAAACCAACATAAGATTGAAAACTTAAAGTGATGTCAATAGTTGTTTTCACAGAGTGATGGAATGGTGGTTAGTTATTCCTTCTACATTTTAGTATTTTCTTATTTTATAAGATAAACATGTACAGAATTCATATTGAGGACAAAATTTTATAAGTAGGAGCAATGATAAGAATTTATATTTCATGTTTGTGAGTTCAACAGGTTATCCTACCAGTCCTAATTTTCACATGGAACTTTGAAAGTCAAGATAATCTTTTTTTTGATAAAGGTCAAAAAGTAATTTCCCTAAAATTTTGCCTCAAGTGTGGATTAAATTTTATATGATAATTAATTAACATTTAGATTTTGCTTCAAAGTAAAGAAGAAACCTTCATACAACTGCTGGATATTAAAAATTCGCTATGTATTTATCAGGCTTGAATCAGAAGAGACTCCTTGACCACTTCTAAATAAAAACACCAGGAGATTTTTCATGATCATACTGTGAATCTGATTCCATCTGACATCTGTTGAGTAACTTTTGATCTCAACTGTCCTTCTATAAGAGCAGGGATCATGGTAAGTGGGAAGACAGGCGGGGAGGCATCCCTTAGGTTATGAATTGGGCGGAAATGGAGGTTCACCTTCAGGCGGAGAT